ATCTTGTTGCGGTGCTTCGGCGGTACAAAAACCAATGGGCCAAAATCCTTCGGCGGTCGGGCTGGGAAGGCGGCTTTCTTATCAATTTGTGTCAAACGCTAACGTCACAGAGACGGCGCTCGGTTCTCCAGTTATCCTGCACGTCTCGCGACTTACATTGGAAGGACAGCGTTCCGAGTCGGCGAAATATCGATGTCGCTCATGGGTACGAATTGTGGGAATCTAAACTGAATTGTTGCCGGGGGATTGCCGGGCTTGCATAGTGGGAAGCGATCGCCGCTGCCAACCACCAACCGCGAGGCCGGATGGCGGCTCGATAACGCCGCCAAACCTGCAAAATCAGGGCCTGTTGCACCGGAGGTACACAAGATCGTTGTGATTCTCGTGTAGTCCCGCGATCAACATGAATAAACTTTACCCCGGGGATAATCCTCTCAAATCATGGCAACAATGCAAATGGAGAGGCTGAGCGTTGCGCACCTCCCGGCGAACGCGCAATGGCAATAGCGTTTGATTGATAACATGTGGTGTATGGGACAACGGTGTCCCTCCCTCCCTTCAGCCGGCTCACCCGCAACGTTCCGCACTGACTGTCCCCTTGAAATCTTATTTATTCATAGGAGAAGGAGATGCGCGCGCGCACACATGCGGCGATGGGAGTTGCTTCTGAATCGGACTTCTGAATCGGATCTGACATCGCTTCACGACAGACATGGCGGCACCTGCATACATCACAGTGATACAATCCCACTGAGATTGCCTTATCAAGCGTGCGCTGTGGCACAGGCATCGTCGGCGGCTGCTTGGAGAAACCACGCACAGCATTTAGCCTTGAGACGTTACCAGGCGACACATCGCTTACCCGGTGACGGTTGTCTGGCAGGCGCCTCAGGTTGTGGCCTACTTGGTGGCGCATGCTCACTGCGATGCGGGAATACTGCAAAGTCTATTCATTGTTAGAAAGTGTTCGACCAGAAGGTAGACGTGAATAATTGTGGGTTTTTTGTGTCAGATAGGAGCGAAAGACATTGCTGATTTCGTTCCTCACTGTCCGAAGACTAAGATGAACTATGCTTTGAAAATTGTGGTATCATCAGGAAAGGGGGAGGTGAACGAGCGAATGTAACATACCTTTGGTACCTAGGTACATGGTGGCGTCCTCGTGGACCTGTCAGTTGTCAGGGTCCTCGGCCGGCGACGGCAAGGCGGACGTCGAGGCAAGGCAGTGCAGTCGATGACACGCACTGAGTTTGCGCCATGTGTGAGTGTATGTGTGTGCGGCTGCATTGAAAAGGAGAGTGTTGTGCGACAAAACTCGGACAGCTTGGATACGAGGGAGATTTTCTCTCATCGGCCCGGCTCTTCTGTGGCCGAGAGATCTGCATCAGTACCTGCCAATCTTCACCTGTAAGAACCAGTCTGATACCCAACGGCGGGGAGCCTCAAACTCTAAAGACACGGCTCAGGACGCGTGTCGCTTCTACCTCGGTTTCTTTGACTCAAGATGCGCCGGTCGCCATCGGTGTCGCGAAAAGATTGGTGGATGCCTGCATCGGAGAGGCGAGTGACCTTGGTAGGTGAGGAGAAGTTCTGCAGTGCAAGAGCGGAAGACATTTTCTTCCAGCTTCGCTTATCTAATCGGGTAACGCGTCGTGTTTAGTCAGCCATCGAGTAAGCCATTGACGTCATACACGTGACTCTGCCCGGGCGAGGTTTGTTCGCGTCTGCCCGTTGACCGTGAACTGGACGATTTACAGGGTCCGTGGAACGCAACACAAAGCAAGGTGAGTAGTTCGAGCAACGTCCTCTGATGACATCAACAGCGTTCGCAGAAAAAGAAACAACGATGACCTGGTCGATACGGTACTCCGGAGTATGCACAAGATGTCAAGGTACCACCTGGCGATAAGGGTTTGGCAGCTTCAGCGCTCTGCAGCTGAACGGAGTTAGCCGTCTGGTCGAGCTGGTCGAGCTCGATGTGAAGCAGGGCAACGCGCGTGGCTGCTTTAGGTCTTGTTCTCAAACACACCGTCCACCACGCCGTCATGGTTCCAGTTTACCCCGGGATCAAGCAGTGATCGGGACAAGACCGATCTACTTCCAAAGGCTAGCGCGATCGATATACTATGAATGGTACTAGCACGTGACTCAGCCCCCCAAGGGTCCGCCGACAATCCAACCGGTTCTGGAATCTCCCAGACTATCTTCGAGACCACGACTGTCAGCCTGGATCGAAGTCACGTTGTGGAGGACATGATAGCGGGGGTTCATGCCAGGCATCCCCGAGCCGTACATGACGCGTATGAATCATCAAGACCTGATTCGCTGGATAAGGACCCTTTGCTCTGATCAGTGAGCTCGTAAGCAGGTTGGCGTTCAGCAACTGCCCTTTCCATGTCATTGTTACAGAAATCAGGGTCCAAGCTGCACGTTTGGAATGCGGGGGAAGTTCAGCATCGTCTGATTGGTACGATCAGATATCGTCTGCGTAATGGTCAGGCCACGAGCGATCGTACCTTTGAAGACATTCAGCTGAACAACGGCTATATGAAGCTGCTGCTGTCCGTTGAGAAGACGGTATCACAGCTCAAACATACAGTCAGCCTCTATCAACAAGTCCAACCAAGTCCAACCTTCTCAAATACCCCTATCAGTCCAACTCCACCACACAATGCCTTCCCCATTCCAGCAGAAGTACTCTTCCCAGAACCACAAGGTCTTTGGAGACAACACCACCCCAGCCATGCCCGAAGCACCCAAGCAAGAGGCCGACCGTCGTTCTTCAGAGTCTTCAGTTGGCTCTTCATACTACGATGGCCGTCGCAGGGTAAGTTCATCCTATTTGAGCCTAACTTGGGTTTTTTTTATATCAACAGCTGCTGACATCTCTCAGTCTTCCGCAGCTCAGCGATTTGGCAACCTAGAGGCCCTCAAGCGTCGTCAAGACGAAGAGAGTATGGCTCGCAGGCAGTCATTCCACGACGCATACGGAAAGCCAGGTTTCCTTGGAACCCTCTGGAACAAGTACGTCATGCCTCTTTTCCCTGAACCATGACACCTTGCTAACAATTTGTAGCTTCACTCGTGGCCCCATTACTCCTTCTCAGAAGTAGTTTGATTAGCATTCTGTTGTTTCTTTGAGTGTATCCATTCAGCATGTTATAGCGATGACTGGAGTTTGATGAAAGCATGCAATGCCGCATTTGCGCAAAAACAGCGTAGCGATGGAATTGGTCAGTTTTTAGACGACCACATGACTTGTACTATACCAAGAGGATGTATCATATTATGAACAATTGTTCTCATGAGACTTGTACCAGATGTTGTGATGTTGTCTTAGCAAAAGCTTAGGCTTGTGTGGGGGTGACCCACCATGTCACGATTGGTGTTCGCGTCGGTGACGTCGGAGAGAACACGTAAATTCACATGAACAACACCTTTCGCCAACTACGCGCTGCCTAAGCCCAAACCATCCTGACAAAACAAGAACTTCGAGAAAATACAAGCTGAACACACACGTCTTGACCTAAGAAACAGCGTGCACCAGTTCCTACCCCGCCAGCGTCACCTCTTCATCACTCTTGCCTGCTTTCAATCGCATCCACCTAGAAGCGCACCACCACAACCGTTACGATGACTACAAGAACTCGCTCTCCGGGCTTCGGCGACACCACGAGCATCAATCTAAATCGCTTGTTGTCCAGATTAGACCGTTTAGTACTGGTCGACCCGTCACCGCAGTTGCGAAAGTCCACCTACGAGCGCGCACGTGTGAGCGCGGTAAGCTTCACACAGTTATACATTCTATTGCATACACTGATGGTATCATAGAACATTGAACATGCCCGCACCCTACTCCTCAGCCTCGAACACTCTGCCTCTACGATACCCTCCAAGTCGAAGAAAGCCGAACTACAGAACGACCTGCAACAGAAACGCGAACTCATAAAGCAACTCAACCAACGGATATACGAGCTTAATCAGCTAGACGACACGGAGTCAGAAGGGTCGGTAGACTCTGATGAAGAAGACGCGGATCAGTTTCCCTCGTATGCACCGAGAGTAAAGACGGAAGCCGGGCGCGATGTTTCGACATCTACAGAAGGCAATGAAGCATTTCAGAATGCAGCACAAGGCATCGCGTCAGAGCTGCGCCGAAGAGGCAAGCCGGAGGCGAACGCAGCAGGGACTCAATCAGCATCCGGCAACTCTTTGTTTCCGTCCAAATCTACCTCAAGCACAGCCGACCCTTCGCTTGCGAAAACAGAAGCGCTCCTCTCCCACGAACGCAACGAACAAGAAGAGCTCACGACGGACTTGCTCGATATGGCGAGGCAACTGAAAGAGCAGTCAATACACTTTGGGAACACGCTCGAAGGGGACAAAGGCGTAGTGGATCGCGCACTTGCAGGGCTGGATAAGAACACGTTGAACATGGATGCTGCCAGCAGGAGAATGGGTGCCCTGCGGAGGATGACTGAAGGCAAGGGTTGGTGGGACAGGATCAAGCTGTATGGCATGATCGCTGGGCTATGGGTGATCGCCTTCCTGATCGTCTTCGTTGGGCCGAAGATTCGTTTCTAGGGCGACTCTCGATCCTGCCCATCCATGTCGCAGCCATCAGCCTTGAACAGTCGTATACGCATTGCAGGGGTTAGAATTGTTGGCGGAATCACAGCGCAAGCTCTGCTCGACTGCGAGCATCACGAACAGCATCGTACGATTATTATACCCACCCAATTCACTTCATGTTCATATCGGTCTACACGCAGTACAGCGCATTGTTACCGTCGCAGTGGTTCAATCTTGGGTACTCCACGATGGGGCTGCCCGATCTTCACGGCTGAGCCACGTCAAATCTGGACCCTGCGCATCTGCATGTACCCGCTTAGCGGCTCCGAGCTTCATCTTAATGTGTGCTGTCGCTCGACAACAACATAACACGGCACCACCCACCCTTCTCACGCGATTTTTATTGTTATAATTGGTGTCGCGACAAGATGGCCGCCATGGAAATGCACTCATTGGGCGCGCGCTGTACGTACTCGAAGCCTGACACGCCCTGACGGACAATCACTACCGCTCACAACCTACAATGCGCATTGCCTGACAAACATCTCCAGCACTCAACCACGCGTCCGCCGATACCGAAGCCGAGTACGACCGTCTCCGCGACCTTGCGCGCCAAGAAGCCGCAAAACGCTCCTCCTGCTTCGACAAAGCCCACCAAGCCTACGAATCCGGCGATGGAGCGCGCGCCCACGAGCTTTCCGAAGAAGGCAAAGCCCACGCCGCGAAGATGGACCAATACAACCGTCAGGCGCGCGACTACATTTTCCGGGAAAACAACGCCGAGGGCAGAGTCGCAGGCGATACCATTGACCTCCACGGCTTGTTCGTAGAAGAGGCCGAGGATGTCCTGGAAGAGAGGATTAGGGTTGCGAGACAGAGAGGTGAAGGCCATCTACATGTCATTGTGGGCAAGGGAAACCACAGCAGGAACCATGTCCAGAAGATCAAGCCGAGGGTCGAGCAGGTGTGCCGCGAATTGGGATTGCAGTACCGCACTGAGGAGAACGAGGGTAGGATCTTTGTGAATCTGCAGGGTGGTGATGTGCATGAGATGCCGCCGCCTCCTCAGGCTCCGAGTTATGGAGGGTACCCTGGACAACATGGTGGACAGCACGGTGGTCAACATGGCGGCCAGCAACATGGCGGACAGCAACATGGAGGTCACCAGCAGCATGGTGGTCAACAACACGGTGGCCAGCAACATCACGGACAGCAGCAGGGTCAAAATGATGAGATTGAGCAGATGGCCAAGAAGGGCTTGTCCAGGTTGCTCAAGAAGCTTGGGTGCTGTACGGTTATGTAAGGCTGTCGTTGATCTACTCTTGTGTAGGCTGTAGGGGGTGATATGGAGGGTTTGAGGGGCCTTCAGAACACGTTTGATACCCGCGGATCGTATGATGGGATGAGTTTGGATAGGGACGATTTGGATGTATATAGATGGTATATGTTTGGATATACCAAAACGATAAGAGTATATGAAGTCCTGCTCAAATGTCGCGTTTCCTTGTTCATTGCTTATCACTTCTCATCTCACCAGCTGAACCTCTTTCGTATGAGAAAGAGATCCACCATGTAGACACAAAAGCCGTGCGGACTTCTCGAAGGAAACAGAAAGACACAGTAGCATCATCAGGAACAGATGATGGCATGGAACAACTGACATGAATTGATAGCAATCCATTTCAAAGTAAGAAAGTAACGGCGCAATCGAACGCACCGAGGAATCATCGAGAGAAACTCAGCTCATATGGCCCGAGGAACGTCATTACGCAAGCCCCACATGACATCGTCTTTCGCTTGGACACCAGAAGTGCTCCCGAAGATGATGAGAGCATGCTCACCGCAACCTGTATAATGCTCAATCAAGCCGAGACGTGCATCGTATACTTTGCACAATGGAGTCGGTTGCAACGATCTGACATCACGCTGCGCCCTGCCGATAAGGCTGGTACGACGGAGGCGTTCCCTTGCTTCCGAAGACGCATGTAACGACGTTTGTGCAAGACTTTGTGTAATGAGTGACGTCTTGTGGGCTGTAGAGACGGATTCAGGATGTGAGATACATGGTGTTCACAAGGCTTCATATGCATCTCATCTGAACAGAGAAAATGGCGAGGATGTGTAGTGGTACAGCGATGTCATCTTGTCCTGTCTTATTTCCCGTTCTCTGAATGCAACAGAAGCTTCGATAGATTAGTCTGGTGTAACGAACCTTCGATGAAAGTCGCGAATGACGTTCACGGAGCCACGGCCCGTTCCTCCACTTTCCATGCGCCTCCTACGCTGAGCACCCTAACAATCCACACCTAAACAACCAACACATAAAGTACACAGCATGATGACACAGACGCAACCGCCAGCCATCCCGTCGCCTCCGCCAGACCTCAGCGCCAAACTCCCCAAGCTTATCCCCCGCAAACGCGCCCCCACATCGCGAGAACCGCCGTCTGCCCCTCCCCCACCGACGCCCTCGTTACCCGCGCCGCCGAATCTAGAGACACATACGTACACGCGACCCTCAAGGCGCATATTGAGCCCAGAGGATCACCAGCTATTTCTCAAGAGCAAGACATGCACGCTAGTCGAAGCGTTCGTGTTCGGCATCGCCGACTCGGTACGCGACCGCAGCATCTCGAGCGTCAAAGATGAAGAAGTCACAGACACAGTCAAGACAGTCGTGCAGATACTAGCGGAGGCAGAAAAGGTGCTAGACAGGTGTCCACCAGAAGACACAGGCTCGCGCTTCGGCAACCCAGTCTTCCGCACCTTCCTCGATGAAGTAGAGACGGTGTTACCACTATGGCACGAGAAGCTCGGGTTGAGCGACAAGGCGCAGGTCAACGAGATAGCGACGTACCTCCACAACTCCTTTGGAAACAAACGAAGAATAGACTATGGATCCGGCCACGAACTCAACTTCTTTCTCTGGCTGCTCTGTCTAAATCGCATCGGCATACTCCCCGACACTACCTTCCCCGCGCTCGCGCTCGTCGTCCTCCCCGCATACCTCCGCCTCATGCGCCGCGTCCAGGAATCATACTACCTCGAGCCAGCCGGTTCACATGGTGTCTGGGGGCTGGACGACTACCAGTTCCTTCCGTTCTTGTTCGGCGCAGCGCAATTGCTTCATCACCCTTACATCACACCGAAGAGCATACACAACGCGTTGGTACTGGAAGAGGAGAGCAAGGAATTTCTCTACCTCGACCAAATATCCTTCGTCAACTCCGTCAAGAACGTCGAGGGTCTGCGCTGGCATTCACCCATGCTGGACGACATATCCTCCGCGAAGTCATGGGCGAAGATAGAATCCGGGATGCGGAAAATGTTCCGCAAGGAGATTCTGGAGAAGCTACCCGTTATGCAACATTTCTTGTTTGGTAGTTTGGTGCCGCCTGTTGAGGGCATGAGCACGGAAGAGGAGGCGGGTGTGGAGAAGGAGGAAGAGGAAGAAGAGGGTGGGGAGGTCAAGGTATTTGATGATGAAACGGGGAAGAGACATGTACATGCGAGTGCGGGTTGGGGTGATTGCTGTGGTATTCGCGTACCGGCTGCGGTTGGCGCGGAGGGGGAGGCGAGGAAAGGTGGTGCGAGGGGGTTGAGGAGGGTACCTTTTGATTAAGACTTTAAAAAGACCATGAAGAATGCAGATGGGTATTTTTAGAAGAAAAAGAAAAAAAGACTCCATTAAGAAACTATAAATCCGAGAAGAAGAAATGGGTATAAGACTCCATTGCTGGTGTCGGATATACCTAGGTAGACTAACAATCAACAAATCCACACCTCCAACCCAAACCAAAGCTACCATCCAAGACTCCCCCAACAATCCCACCCCCACCATCCACCATCCCAACCCCATCACTCTATCCTATTATTCCACCCGACTAACCGTCGCACCCCTCCTCCTCCTCGTCCCCGCCTCTAAATTCAACAACGCAAACCTCTCCAACAGCACCGCCCTCTGCACCACCGTCTCCTCATCTTCCTCCTCCTCCTCCTCCTCCTCCTCCTCCTCCTCCTCCTCACCCCCATCCCCCACC